AAACTAATAATTCGAATTTACAACATTTTCTATGTGTAAGCTATCGAGAATAGCATTTTTACACATAAAATCAGTTTAAGAGCATTTTTGACTCACTTATTCTGCAATATCCTTTGATCAAACACGAGTTGCAAGTTGATACTCAGTTACATTTTTCAACACAGCTTTGAAGTCTCTGCTTACATTTAACGAATATATAACAAGTAACTTCTGTTGCAAAATAAATCTCATTTTCCTCTTACAATTTAATAAGTGTCTTCTCGATGATTCAATTTTAAGAAATTTGAATAATACTTTCAGTAAAAAATAAACAGAAAGAAATTATGAGATGTACCTACCTTATTATTGTAGGTTCCTACTTTCAGACATAGAGACGTACTTCACAAAGTCATGTCCCAGCTTCATGCGAGATAAAGAAATTGTAAAAACTGCGAAAGAAAATAAACATTATCAACATTCTGTTAATAAGTTTAATTAATCGTTAGGACAATTATTAATATTTTGTTACAAAATTCAAAATGGATAAAGATCAGAATGAAAAAATGTTAAATCAACTATTTCTTAAAGGGAAACTTCTACATCTCTTATGTTTTACTAAATAGTTGCTGGAATACTTACCATTTTACATTTCAATATGTTCCATGTTTATGCCTTCAGCCAGCAACTCCTACGATTATCTGTAAAGACAAAAAGTTAAATGAGTTTTTCATTCAATTACATTATATCAATTTACTTCAATTCAGAAATCAACCAATTGATGTATATGTTACATAAAAATGATAATTGAGTTACAGTTTGGTAAATAATATCTATATGGTTACGACTATTGTCATACACTTCACTATTCTAAACTTCGAAAGCATATTTGTTGTAAACCAGAGTATCAATTTTTTAAACAAACAATAATGTTGTATAAAACGTTAAGAATTAAAGTTTGGGTATAATATATATAATATATATATATAATATTGGGTATAATATATAAAATTATATATATATATTGTACACATTTAGAAATATAAAAAATTTTACATACAAATGATACAAAAAAGAAATTATAGTAATCAGACAATTTTTGTAAATTACTCTAAAATTATGTATAAAACAGAATTAAGAGATCAGGTATTTTACAAACTTTATATGAGTTGACTTTTGAATGAAAAATACACATGTTATTTAATAAATGAATGAAATACTGAAGCTGCATGGAACTTAAATAATTATTAATATATGAATGGAAATTGTTTATATCAAATTACCCTGCCTACTAAATTTTAAATGTTAAATACTAGAACATTTCAATTTATTAATAATATAATAATTTGAAGAAATTTTCGTGTGTATAACAATGTTCAGGAAATTCATACATCCCACGTGTTTACCACCCAGACAATAAGTAAAACTTTCATAAAACAATTTTAAAGGTTTTATTGCTCAGATGATAATTAGGTACAGCAGCCTAGATTTTAAATAGTGAACCTAGACAACCGCTTGCTAAACTTGGTACGTAAATACATTTTGGTTGTCATAGGTAAAAGAATACAGTCTAGGCTGGTAAATTTGCACACAAGTATTAAGTTTTTTTAGAACCGTATGAAAAAACGATTGGGTTGGCATAATGTTGTAGAAATATTGAGGTTTAGAGTACAGTCAATGTATATTGAATTCAGGTGAAGAAATAAACCACTGTAGATTGCAACTCCTCTGTACATTCCCCGAACGGTTCTGGAGTTTTGTACAATTACAGACATATTTAATTATAGTAGTAAAGATCACAAATTATTCAGTTTTACGGCTGGAAAGATGTGATACCTTCCCAGGAAAATTTCTAAAAAGAAGGATAATCATAAATATGTAATATTTTACATTTATAACAGTAAAAAAATATTATTAATTAATAAAATGTAATTACCATTTGAATAATCCCTTTTGTAATCTTTACCACACACTTGTTTCAACGTTCCCACCCGAATATTAAAATAGAATTACGCATAATAACATTTTTACAATATCTACTCACCTCGTACCAGTAGATTCATTGACTAGTAGTTTCAAGTAAGTAAGCCTATCTTGTCATTGCTGTCTCTCCTCCGTTAAAAGACTCTTGATTAAGAAATGTTCAGTTTATATTGTGCATTATTTTGCGCCATTGCAGGCAATTACGTACATTTGTGTACGCAGTTTTCTTCAAGAAAGGACATGAACATTTTCGCAAAAAATGCACATATGTTTATCCGCAACCAATCGTCCTCAGAAATTCTCAAAAGCTATTGCGATGACATCACATTTTTTTTCTTAAGTCAGTAAAACGCGCAGCGTGTTATATCTTTATGCTCAATCATCGTCAAAAAAGTTTCATAAAAGAAACATATTAAAACTCATCAAACACGCATATTAGACGCATTAAATAATGTGCCCTATTGTTAATATGTGTATGTAGGATGGTAATCTGTTCGTTATTTAAATTTAGTATCGGAATCTATAAAATAAAGGATTGACGTATATATTTAACAAATACAGAGAATCTAACGATGTATATATAAATATATACAAATCATTATAGATCATTGTTATAATGAATATTATGATAGTAACCATTATATAAATATACACTACATACACAATATTGAAGATAGGTTAACTTGAAGATTGTCGGGAGAAGCTGTCCAAAAATTCGTGAAACAAGAATTAAATTCAACATTTGATAGATTAAGATTAGATAAACCAAACACATTGAAGAGTAATGCGAGTAATTAAAATTTGAAGTGAAATATATAAATTCCTTGAGGTATAAGGAAGTTCTATAAAACTAATAATAAAAAATAAAATAGAGCATAGTTAAATTTTTATCTAAATTTTATGAAATATTCAATTTAAAAAATTATTGAAATAACAGTGTCTGACGTGACGTTAACCAATAACGTTACCAAGTTAACACTTCATAATTCCTAAAAAAAAATATGAAACCATTTGGAAGTAACAGGTCTGTAATATAAAATAATAAACCGGTAACAGTTCACCGAGTTGGAATATTTTTTAGTACTACAAACAAGGAATTTTCATTACTCCTAAACAGTTATTTGAACGTTTAATAGAAACATGTATTTTAATATATACTTTTCAATGTACCAACATTTAGAGTTTCCCTGAAATAAAGTTTAAAAATATTTTTAATAATTAATATTGGCTAAAAAATATTAAAGTTATTCTAGAACAATTAAACGAAAATAATTCATTAATAAAGTAAGGAACTATTTTTCTGCTAAAATGTTAGTATAAAATTTGCTTAATGATGGGAGTAATGTTTTCAATATTGCTACAAAAAATTGTAAATATTAGTTTAGTATTAAAATTAATAAGTATATGATTTAAGAATTTAATTTATACCCATACTGTATATTTTTTAATTGAAATCGTAATCTTCTCCGGCAAATATAATCATTAATATTAAAGCCATTTCATCAATTTATATCCAATTTCCCCCAATCACCTGGCTCATTTGACATAACAATGTACTTTCGTTATTTTCGATCTATACTTTTTTTATCAAAGTGCCTAAGAATTTACTATTTAAAAGCTATAAAAGGAATATAGTACGCATTACACTGCAAACAAATCTCGATGATAATTATTTTATATATAAAACCAAAAATGTTTTATACAACTAACAAGAGCATCTTTCTGGTCACGTGAATATGTATATGATTTGCATTGCAAATATGTAATTTGCTGCTACCTAAAGAATAATTTCATTTTATGGAATAGCTTAAAAACTTTTGTAATTACATTCCTGTATAAGTTATAGATTTAATGTGTCTTCATTGAGTATAATTCCACTTTGAAAGCACTATAATATGTAACAAGTTTTCGCATTATCCTTCAAACACGCACGTTTTTAATATTCTAATATTTACGACAATTAATAATTAAATAAATAGTTCCTAAGTGTAGATGTATATAGACCTTTATTCATAAAATTACTCTTTGTCAGTTAAGTTCCTTCACAAAGTTTCAGTAGCACATCTGTAAATTGCTCTGCTAGTATACATCTTATTCTAACATAATTATTTTGATGAAGATTTAAGTAATGAAGAGACTGAACATATGTATATATATACATATACAAATACCTATATGTATATGTATATATATATATATATATACATATCTCATTCTCCCATGGCGAAATAACACCATTAAGTTTAAAAACACGTATGTACGAATATCGATACTGCGGTAGCTAAAATTGCCTTAATACAGGCAGACCTGTGCAACTTCTCTTTTTGTAAAAAGATAAAGTTGTTGATTTCGATCACTGATTGATTTTGGTCTCAATCTGGATTAACACATTCTCACTTATAAACTAACATATCCTCGTATTCGTAAAGTACAAAGCAAAAGGTACTACTACTCAGAGTATATTACTTTCACCGTGAGAAACTAACGAATCAAATAATTGATTAACTATGAATAGCGATAGTATGACAATATAAGAATGACAGAAACTAATATATTACGTCGTTTTGAATATGTACACATTTTCCATGAAATAAAATACTCTTCCCCTGTGATTTTTGTTTTAAAATACTAATTGACACAATGAATATGCATCGCTTCTACATATTTATGATATATCATAGTATATAGCGTTCACAGTGCAATACTGTAAACAAAAAATTCAGTTCTTCTTTTACCTGTACAATTCTGTTTCATAGAGAAGAACTGTTTATAGGAAATTAAAAAAAAAGCATATGAATTGAATGCTCCACAATACACTCAGAAAAAAGAAAATATAATTAGAACATTATATAGTCGTGTCATGTAGTCAACGTTCTCAGTACTTCAGCGATAAATCTTGGTTTGGCGTTTCTCTAATAAAGTTCTACCGAAATTCTAAAGAATTCGTCAATGTATCAAACATATTTGTTAGTACTACAAATCACCAGAAAAGGTATTTCTTTCTTGCACTTTTTTCGCTCGCAAGCCTTACTAGTTCATTAATATCCACATAACTTAAAAATTGTATAAAACACAGCAGTCTCTTGTCCACAAATGATTCGCGATATTTACGACGTCAGATCTAATACGAAATATATAAAAGTCGCTGGACTATCCATCCATTTCATAATTTTGACAATACCCTTCACGCTAATATCCTCCTCCCTCCTCATCCCCCACCCGCAAGTATATTGTAAAAAAGTGACAGACTATCTATAGCAAAAGTTGTGGAGAAATGACTGAAGAATACAATACGAACTATCGGAAAGTATAAATTTCTTCTCGACTGATTTAAAGAAAAAAAAAGAAGTATAATACTGTAACGTTTTAATAGCGTCTCCTCTTGTTTGGATAATCGTCCTGACGATTTCGATCATTTCCACCTTGCCAACGTCCACTACCACCACCGCCTCCACGACCTCCACCCATATTACCCATATCAACCCTCATATCCATTAAATCCATTATCTGCCCACGATCATCATTGTAACCCCCTCGGCTACCACGATCCATAGTGTTATAAGCATCCATGAAGGACTTTGGGTCCTAATTATCACAAACGGTCGAGTAGTTGTTATCACGGGTAAAGTGACACGGTAGTTTTCGTTTGTTTCAGTGAGTTTCGAGTTAAAATAGTCGAGAGTAGGTCGATAATCATTGAAGAAAATGTCACGATTCCCGTTTAAACGGCGAACACACACGGTGTTTTGTAGATTTTGGATGTACCATAAATACATTTCACGGTTCAGGGCGACCATCCATGTTTGACAGCAGCACAGGTCATCGTCAATTTTCGTCAAATCACATAGAAAAGAAAGGGGAAAACACAATGTTAGATGTTGCTTTGTCTGTACAACATTAGAATGGTTTGCGTGATTACACGCGCTAAAACAAACGATATACGTATATATTTTGTTATATTTCATCGCGAAAGTATGCAGTTTTTTTTTCTTTTCGACATTAACCTTATTTAACCAAGCAAATGCCCAACATACAAATTGACGATAGTAATATCACCATCGATGTCGGTGGACCTGTTGAAGTAGATTGTAAACAAGGACAACAGCACGTTAATCTCAGTATGCAAAATATTGCGCACACGTTTCTTTCCCTAAATAGTTTTAATCTTAAACTATTTTGGTTAAATTAAAGAGAAAAAGTTACATGGTTAATTATAGCTTCAGAACTGTAATTAAGAGCAACTCTAAAGATATACTCTTCTGGCCTTATATGAATTATGGCGAGAAATTGTTTAAAGTTACTTTCTTTCAGCATTTCAGTTTGTAAGCTGGTATCGGATTGTATGTCACAATATTGTTATTAATACTATTTTAAAACGTAGAAGTTTTTGTATTAAATGTATGTATAGTATGTGCAGAAGCAATTTAATGACTTCCTGATTATATTTTCAGAACCTATGTACCTGATTAATTAGTAAAATCCTACAGAAATACATCCTGTAATATACAGAGGAAATTACTTCAAAGTAGTCATACTTATAACTTATATAAGTATAGAGTTGATATAAATAGAATTTTATACAATTCTGGAGTTTAAGTATAGACTCAAGTAGCAAAGAGGCGTGATCAAAGTCTCTAAGCAAACTCTGCGTAATACTTATTCCACAGAATTGTGTCTTTTATAAATTACGTGTAAACAGCGTATTGAAAAATAATACGTAAAGAAACATTAAAAGCAATGTTAAAAACATCCCCCACATTTCTCATATAAAATAAAAATCACTTAGTTTATGTATATATTATGAATTATATATTGCTCTATTCAGAAACCACTACTTAGTTTCATTTGTAAATAAATTATAGTATGTAGAAAAAAATCGTATTTTTAAATGGAAAATATTTTCTGAATAGAGCTGGTCTTGGTTGAATAGTATATTTCATATTGTTGGGCATTTCTTGGTCAATAAATATTAAATTGTTACTATGGAACTGTATGAAAGAAAAACATCTACGAAGTAGGAAGTATTAAATAGAAAGCTGAACTATTTGTAAAAATATAGAAATTATTTATAAAAACAGTTGTTAGTTCCATAGTAAATAACACACCTAATCCTTAATGCAGCTAGAGAAAATAGAACACAGAGCCTCCTGTCTGCAAGCATATGGAGAGACCAATGTGGCAAAGTATTAATGTTTGTAGTTTCAGTTAGAACTGTATCGTTTGTAAATGCGTAGGGAATAACCTAGAGATGGTGTAATATTTTTAAATATTTTCCATTATTTGAGGACTACATAAATCCAATATCGAAGTTTTATACAAATCACTGCGCACTGAACAAATTTTAAATGTTTTCTTTGACGTTTACTTAAAATATGTACACTTCAAATGAAATTTGTTCTAGAATCAGAAAACTTATTATCCCCTAAAATGATTTGTATTTCAGTTACAATACTTCTTCAAAAGATAGAAAGATGAACTTTTAATCCATGGTGGACTTGTCAATTTAAATTGTCCTGTATATGCGTTTTCCAACACATGAACACGCCTTACATGTAGAATATACCTTTATTATTTCATAGTAGAGTGCGAGCATATAAAATATAACGCATACTAAATGCTTTCAATTTGCATTACCATCCCTTCCATCATTTCTGCATAGTTTCCCAAATGTCGAGAAGACAATAATAGATAACCAACTTATAAAACTTTCATGTTTATAGTCGACATATCTCGCATTTAAAGACACTTCATTATAATATCATACATCGAATTAATCCTGGCAAACTTAAAGCAACAACTTCATGATTATTCGAAGTAGATTCGAGAAAAAGTAACTATTGATATCACACAAGTGATACACCTTCGTTTAAATGAAAACAGAAACAACGCAATAGTCGATGAAAAATAACGATAACATCATTATCATGAGAATGATGTGCGATAAACTTTGAAATCTGATGCAGAAATATCCTATTAGTACCTAAAATACCTTCTATATTTGTCAAGACAAAATGAAATTGAACTTCGATGTCTATCCACGCCAGAAAATACCAATAAAAAGTAATTAATTATATAGTTAAATAGAAAGCTTCAACATATTGCCCATTGACTCCTCCACATGTTACAGCCTATTAATTAAAACAGAATTATTTGAGTGAAGCGTAACCCGTGATATTAAACATTTCATAGTGTAATTGGCATTATTGCAGACATTAGAACTCTGCTATCTTGGAAAGCATGCTTTCATGGGAAGACTTGTAAAAAAGTCGTTTTGTGTATTTTTTCACAGAATTTTTCGCTAACGATACTGACTCCTTTATCATGCAAGAACATACTTCGATTCATCTAATATTTCTCGTATATAAACTTAATAGTTTTGTAGTGTCACCAGATAGAAATACGTATACAAATAAAAAGTAACAAATTAAATATTTTGAAAAAGAATAAGTAACTGTTTTGCCATGAAAAAATAAAGTTAAATGAAATAATAATAGAAAGGGATACGTTACCACTGGCATGCCGCTTCCACCTGTAAAGAGGTGCAGGTTATAATTAGAAATTACTGTTAATCAGTAAATCATTATACAACTTATGTTTAACCGTTTGCGGACAAGGGCTTTTCAACTCTTAACTGCTACAAAAAATGGAAATTACGTACTTTGGTTATTTACATAATTTAATTATTGTAGATGTGAAACTTTGATGTCATCAGTATGACGATACTCGTCCTCAAAGGGTTAAATGACATGGATATTAAAAAAATATAATAAAACACAGAAATACATATACTGCAGAAACCATATGTTGATATAAATGGTAAATATTATTTAATAACTAAAAAGACGTGAAAACTTACCATCAGGTTGACCATATCCATCACGGTCACTATTACTAACAGAATCGTAATTCTTTCCTCCCAAGCCACCTCCTCCGCCGCCACCTCTCATTGCTTGCTCCTTAAATATAAAGGAAACATAATCCTAAATGTTATTAAGAAACGAAAAATAAGTTAAAAAATCACAAATTTCATGCGATTTACTTATGTGTAAAATTACAAATGTTTCTTAAAATAAAAAATATGACTCATGTAAATAATTCACAAAAAATTGTGATGTTTTCAAAATTTCTATAATGTATAAGTTAATATTATTCAACATTTATTATGTGAGTTCATGTTTCAAATATTTATTTTATTAATTATTGTTATTTCAACATTTATAACATTTAACTAGTTAAATTATTTAAACTTAAATTCTTTTAATAATTTAATTAATCCCAGATATTCAATTATAATAAATATTAATAATATCCATTCATCCCTCCTTACATAAAACTTTAATACTCTATTCAATACTATAAACATTTCGTACAAACGTAAGTTCTTTACATAAAAAGTTAATTCATAACACAATTACCTGCATAAATAAATTATTTTCCTGTTGGCGTCTGTGGAGTTCTTCTTCTTGCCTCCTAATGCGCATAGCCATTTCTTCTTGTTGTCTCCTTCGCAATTCTTCCTCGCGAGTTCTTTGTTCTTCGGCTTGCCTCTCTTTCATTTCCCATTCTCTTTTCTGCCTGTCTCGATCTGCTTCTCGCATACGCAACTCTGTAAGAAAAAAAAGAAACAAAATTTATTTATAGAACCATATATTACTTAAGAAATTTCGAATACCATAAAATTACGTACGTTCTCTTAGTAATTCTGTTTCATGTTCATAACGTGCGAATTCCATTTGAGCTTCCAATTTTTCTTCTTCCATCGCCATTTCTCTCTTCAATGCTTCTTCCTTTTGTTTATAAAGTTCATGTAATTGTTTCCATCTCGTTCCATATTCATGCTCAAAGCTTCCTAACTGAGCAAATCTCGGTCCAATGTCACGTGCTTTGAAAAATTCTGGATTCTTCCGTGGTAAATTCTTATCAGGATAACCATCTACGTCATCTTGCTGTTCAAATGGCTCAACAACTACTGGTCGTAAAGAACTATAAGAAAAGAATTATCTTTAAATACTTACAGAAATATTACATGAATATAATTTTATTCAAAAAGAAACTGTATTCCGTCTTCGGCACACAATACAAACAATGATTGCATCATGCTTCCATTGGGAAGTACTTTTCTTTTCCCCATTTATCTTAATTGGCACTCGAAGATTACTTAATCAATCTAACAAGCGTGGCATAGGGGTATCCAACTTTACATTCATTATAAGAAACTTACGCGGTTAGAAAATAACATCCCTCTGTACACTTTCGTAAAGCAAGTTGAGCTGATGGTTTTCTACAAAACTCCACAATTCCTTCGCCAGTAGTCTTTCCTCGATCATCTACTATAACTATTGCACGCTCGATTTCACCGAAAACGCTGAATGCTCTTTCAAGTAACTCGTTTGAAATCCAAGGTGTCAGATTTTTTACTTTAATTGTAGATGAATGTGGAGCAAACCGTACTTTAAGTGCTCGACCTTTACGCATTGTTCCATCCAATTCATGTTTTGCTTTCTCAGCATTTACCCTGTAATCCTGCAAATATCAAATTATTGTAAACTACAAACGTGAAAAACTTTCCAATGTTTCAGTTTCAGAATATTTTGTCATACTAAATAAATATACAGCCTAATATTATTATCACTGTTCGTCAAACGGTAATTATTATAATCATGTTTCAGATATATGAAAACATTCATATCAAAAATTCAAATTCAAATTACCATTCTGAGAAATGCGAAATTTTTCTCCTTATTGACAAAGAGTTCAGATATTTCACCGTATTGTTGAAACATTTGCTGAATTTCTTCTTCTGTAACGTCATTTGTCAAATTCCCAATGTACAAACGATTACGCCCACTGAATTTCTTTTCTGTAGTTTCTTGCGCTGGTAACTCATGAGTGGGTCCACTAATGGACATAATGCGCTCCATTAAACGATCCTAGTCATGAAATCAATAAGAATATATTATTTTAAAGAACAATTTACATGTTATATAGAACAATATTTTTCTAATAAGTGTTTACAAATATAATTTACACATACTGCATAATAAACAATACGTACATCTTGTGAACGATTTCCCATGTTTCTGTCACCACCTCCTCGACCACCTCTACCTCCACGCATACCGCCACCTCCTCTTCCCATACCCATTCCTCCTCCTCCCATGCCTCCGCCCATTCCTTCAGACATCGTGTTATCCATACCTCCATCCATAGAATCACTCATCTTCATCTGAAGTAATATATTTATTCATTTAGTCTTTAATAATTAATTGTTCACTATTAAAGTTTATGAAATTAAATGTTTCAGTTTATAATAAAATTATTACAAAATGTATAAATTAAAGTTAGTTTTATAGTTTTTTATAATGAATCTAATATATATTAAATTCTGAGGCTCATATTTATTTCCTCAGATTTACAGCTGAAAAACATAATATTAAAATAAAAAATATGTAGTAGACCAATCACATTAGTTTTATACTTGTAGTTGTAGTTACTGCACTAATGAATAAATAATATTTAATTATTGTGAAGATTTGACTTATAGGGAAAGATCCTAAACCCTAACAATAAAAAAAATTGAAATTGTTAGGAAATATGTGAAGCATATATATGCATATAAAATTAAAATAAAATTCATTTTCAGGGAATAAAATAAATCCCTAAATCTTCAATTTTTTCATTCGTAGTTTAAAAAATGGTAAAAGCAATAATTATTTCTTTTAATACAAGTGCAATCTTTGTTCCATTATTATTGTACATTTCTTAATAATAGAACTTCCACAATTTTATCGTATTATATGTAAATTACATAGAGAGCAGTAATGTTCGTCTAATATTTATTTACTTATTATTAAAAATGATTTATTTAAAGAAATAAAACAACACAGAACAGAAGATAATTTATAGTATGCACTTTTCACATAGTAAGAAAGCATTCCAAACAAAAATAAGAAAAAAGAAGAAAATTGTTAAATATTATTGATCTTCACTAGAACACTTTTTATATTTACTGTGAATATAATGAATTATTCCGCATGGTAATTAAATTATTGAATAATATTTAAAATATAGGAATTCATTGTACAATGCAGATCATACAATGGCATGGTCATCATATATAAAGTAATAGGAAAATGTCTGAATTTGTTCTGAAAAAGTAAAATCTAATTGATTTATAAATTCATTGGCTTTCAATCACATTTATGCCATGAGTAAGTATACATTATAATGCTTTGATGATGAAAGTTTATTATACACAAGGGACTGTAATTTAATTAAATTATTTCCTGCATATAAAACAACATCACAATTAAATCATAGTATAAGAACAGAAACTTTTCCTCCTCGTTTATAACTTTTCCCAAATGTTATAAATAATTAATAAATCTTCTATCATTTAATACATTTGATTGAATGTAATGCAATTTGTCTGAAAACTTCTCTTCTATCTGTTGCAATTTACAAATCATAAAATAAAATTAAAGAATAGCCAAATATTCAGCTATTATATTACTTCTGCCTTCTTAAAATGAATATATCCATATACCCACATATTCCCTAATTTTCTACGTCTTTTAGTTGTCAGGTTAAGGATCTTCCCTTATTAATATTTATTTGAATAACATAAATGATGTATTACGATACAATTAACGTCACAAGTAATTACACATTTTACAATAGCACTTTTTAACTCTGCTTACAAATTTGTCTCATTATGCCTGGTAAAGTTATTAAATAAATTTAAAAAAGCACTTAATAACGAAGGGTTACAATACCATAAAGTTCTGTTGTGCATGAAAATATATTTAACAATTTCAATGTATTCATACTATGATGTATTTAATATTGTTTTTAAAGAGTAAACTTTATGAAACAAAACTTGGTTACATTTTATAAAATTTCAATTATAAATGTTTGAATCCACGTGTTCTATTGGTAATTCCTGTCCGCCATTTCACTTCTTTTGTACGCCATTTTGTAACACTTCGCATGAAAAATCGATACGTTACTGTATCACTTCTAACGCATCGAAAATTATATTCTTTATAATACACTGCATTTTCTAAAGTCCAACTTATAAACGAAAATATTATGATGAAAACCTATTTTTGAATGATATAAGCAGCGAATTTTCTATTGTTCTATGTGTTAACTTTTAAAACTTTTCATATTTTATAATACTAAAAAATTTATATGTACAATTCTTTCTAGTTTTCATACTATTGAATTGATCAATACAACAATAATCGCTACACAATAAATAATAAAAAAAAGTGATATTTA